GGGCTCAACTTCGAAATAGGGAATTTATATAATTTTTTGAAGCTTTGCCTTAACTCGGCTCATTAAAGTTATAGGTTGCTCATAAACGAGTTCAAGTTCATTTATTAGCTCGTTTGAGTAATGAGATGCGAGAAAGGCTCAAACATGAGGTCGAGCATAAAAATCTTGGGTTAGTTCGTTTAAAAGTCTTCGGTTAGTTTGTTTAAAATAAGTTCGTTTGATTAATGAGCTGAGATAAAAGCTCAAGCCTAAGGTCAATGGTAAAAAACTTAGGTTTGTTTACATCGATGTGTGATACACATTCAACATCTCAATTCAATTTTCACATACATGATTCAAAACAAAAGCAACAATATTTATAAATGGCATTTGGCAGTGAAGCTAAATAGGGGAAAGTGGTTGGAAAAAAGAAAAAACCTAAAACAAAATAGAAAGTGTCAATTTAGGGGACAAAAAAAAAAAAAAACCTCTATAAGAGACAAAACATGTTTTAAGGGTTTATCAATGATAAAAAGTTGTATTTTGTGGCTAAAATGCCATTCTTTGCACAGTAGCACTATCGTGTGTCATGGCCAGGGCAATTTTACACGCTCCCTCACCCCAAAAACTATAAAATTTAGAGAGTGTAGTGCACGTTCCTATTTTTTCTTTTTTAATTGAAAAATGAGACATATTGCATAAATTAAAATATCATTAATTATTTATATTAAAAAATAAAATAAAAATACCAAAATTCATAATTTTTCATTATCTATAAATAGAGACCACATTTGATAGGTTTTTGAACACATATAATTTTTCGTTTTTTCGTAATTATTTTATTCTGACATATAATGAACATGTTACATAATAAGATGAATATGTTTTCAAATAAGATGAACATGTTACAGATTGAAATAGTACATATTCATCTTATTTTATAACATGTTCATCTTATTGTGTACGTAACATGTTAATCTTATTCTATGACATGTTCATTTGATTATGTAACATGTTCATCTTATTTTAGAACATGTTCACTAAATTTCATCTGTGAAAATGTAACATTTTCATCTTATTCTATGACATGTTCATCTTACTATGTAACATGTTCATCTTATTATAGGTTTGCGTCATAATCTTCCAATAAGATAAATTAATTGTAAAAAATGATAAATTAATTGTGTTCCAAAAAATATCAAATGTGGTCTCTATTTGTAAAGAATGAAAAATTAATGGATTTTGATATTTTTATTTTTATTTTTTGATACAAAATATGAACGATAATTCAATTTATATAATATGATACATGAAATTCATTACCCAATAGACATGGGACACATGTCCCATTTTAAAAATAACAATTTACCTCCTTACCTCACGCGCTTTTGGGGGTGTATTTCACAAAAGATTCTGGCAAAACAAAAAACACATCCAAAGTTCCATCTTTTATATAGGATAGGTAATTATGAGGGCAACCAATAATTATCAGGTCACTTTTTTTTCAAAGTGCTTAATTTTAAAATTTCAAATTCTCATGTATTGTAGGAAATAGGAATATGATCTGCCTATTTATTACATGAGAAAACAAATTTAATATTTCATTTTTGTATAAGTAGTCAATATTTGTTTCAATTGAAATGTGATTGAAAAAAAAAAAAAACGATTTTATATCGTTTCACTTTGTTAACAACAGTACTACTGACACAATTATATATTTTGCCTAAAAAATTACTATTCCTTCACTTACATATTTTTTTATATTCATGAATATCGATTAATTTATATTATGTTATTTTTATATCAACTCAATTAATTATTATATAATATATATATATTCAATAGTCATTCGCAAAGTATTAATTAATCTCGCTTTTTAAAATTATTTTGTTTACTATTTCAGATGAGATTTTTTTTTTTGAAAATAAATTAATATATATTATCGCAACCTAAGTTCGAACGAGAATATTCTTATTTGAATTCACCAAAAATAAAAGAAAAAATATTTTGGTAATGTAAATTAATTTAATTAGCTGCATGTGACCTTTTGTTAAAGCATGGAATAAAGAGTGTTGAAAGACTAATCTTGATTTAAAGTCACCGACAATCTTTGAATTTAATAATCGTCTGCAATTGTTATTTAATTCACCTAAATTAATACACTGTTTTTTTTTTCCACTTAATTTTGGTTTTATTTTACTCCCTCGAAATTTCATACACATTACTATACATGTATGTATGTTGCCTCAAAACCACTTGAATAAGACCAAAACAATTAATTGAGTAAAAAATAAATATAAAATTGGAAAAATAGGATGCTTAGATAATTTAATAGGAAAACGCTAAGGTCCCGTTGCAGAATTATTTCATCAGGTTTATAACCGTTAGATCATCATGTAATCATTAGAGATAGTTGATCAAACAATTACAAACTCCAACGGAATAGTTCCTTTCGAGACTGGTGCATCTTTCAATCCAATAATATTATTTTATTATATGAAAATGGAAAAGAAAACGAATTAACGAAATTAGCTGTTTCAGTTAATTTAAAATTCCTAAAAATTGAAAAAAAATAAAAATAAAAAAGGAAAAGTCAAAAGGAATTAAGGGCACGTGCGATGTTTTCGTGTGTAGAAAAATCAGATACGATGAGGACAAAAATCTCCCCGACATTCGTGAAACCAAACGTGTCCTAAACTACCTTTATATTTTTACACACAAAATACAGTAAAAAAAGGATACATTTTATTTTATTTTTTTTATTTCAATTTGGGGATATTTATTTATAGTATAAAAGGGAAAATATATACATATTTTTAGTTAGGTAAGTTGAAATAAGTAAAATATAAGATTTCCTAATTCCTATCACTATCATTTATCCGAATATACAATGTGTAACTTCAGTCGCACTCGTATAAATGTTGGTTATTGAAACAAAAACATTTCTTTTTATCAAACAATAACAATAATAACGTATTTAAATGTGTGAAATTAAAAATTATTTGTTTTATACATGATCACGAAAGTTTGTAAATAAAAATCCATACTTTTAAACATAAATATTGATTTCAAAATATTATATTAAACAGATTCTACGGTCCCGTTACAGAATAATTCAGCTATTCACGACGGTTACAAATTACTACAGAATAGTTCTGTGACGGGACGTGACATTTTCCATTGTATTAAAATTAGAATGAAATTCCGTTCAATTCCTTTTTAAATAAATAAATAAATAAGTTTTTTGATAATTTTAATTCTTTTTTTTAGCTAGTCGCAGTATCCGGAACTATGCACCGACTAATTCATTGGTCGACCCGAGTCGCACACCTAGTAGTGGTGGGTGAGTCTCCCAACAAGGTTTTTTGCATTCACAAAAACTCGAATCTGAAACCTTGCTTAACCGACATCAAACTGCTTACCAAGGCTAGATAATAGTAATTCTTTTGATTCCACATATTTTCATCATTAGATATATATCACGACCTCAGTCACCTCCAGCTCACTTCTGTGGTCACTGACTCACTTATTTGGAACTGTTTTCATCATCAAAACTGATAAATAAATAATAAATTAACAAATATATAGACTGATTTTTCATGAGTCTCGAAGCTCAAACCCATTCCCTCTAATGGC